TGTGTGATTACCCATCCATCCATCCATCCATCCATCCATCCATCCATCCATCCATCCATCCATCCATCCATCCATCCATCCATCCATCTGTCTACCCATCTTCCATCCATCCATCTACCAATCTATCTATCATCTATCCATAAACCCATTATCGATCCATCCATCGAGCCATCGATCCATCCATCCATCCATCCATCCATCTGTCTACCAATCTTCCATCCATCATCCATCCATCTACCAATCTATCCATCATCTAGCCATAGACCTATTACCCATCCATCCATCCATCCATCCATCCATCCATCCATCCATCCATCCATCCATCCATCCATCCATCCATCCATCCATCCATCCTCTAAATTGACTTAAAAATAAACTGAATAGTCTGTAAATCAGAATCGGTAAAAACGTGGGAACCAGAATAAACATTAAATGACGTATCTGGGCATAAAACAAGCAACATTGGCTTTTCTAATATCATCGACCATGTAAACTAAACTATAATGCAAAGACAAGAATAATGGCAGTACAATCAGGTGTGGATTTTTGCCAAGAAAATTACTTGAATTGGACAGATTGACCCAACCCCAATCAATCAGAAATGTTGGGAACAAACAAGGAAAAAAAGCTGTTAAGCAGAGAAACACTGACAGAACCACTTTATCTTTCCCTAACATAGGCAATCACTCAGTTATATAAAAGCACTGGCATAGAGCTTAAAGATGTTTATTACAAACTTAAAATTAAGAAAAGCCTTGTGAAAAGCTTTTTTTTCCCTCTGTGTGATAACATTATTATTTAATAAAGAACAGTGTAAAATGAGCTAAATAAAGCCACTGTCAGAGGAATGTCCTGCACAAAAAGGCCCAGCAGAAAACTGTGTCACACCAGAACATATTAATCTAGAAGCCACCTACACCGACCTGACAGCGTATCTGCACCTCGAAAACAACATCACACTCTGTACTTTTCAGCAGCATTTCTGGGGTTTTTTTTAGGAAATACACAAAGGAGGATTATATCACCTCATTCCTGGATACTCTAAATAATTTGATTTAGCTGTGGATGGTATTTACAGTCATACATTTTTTCTATATCTGGTGATGTCGCTCAGCTTATACAGTGTGACAGCTTTATGCCGACTAGTTTTCTTAGACCACAAACCCTTTCAAATATGGAACAAAACAAAAACAGTGCCCTCGAGCCCAAATACCTCTTCCCTGTCACCTTGACAAGTGGTCAGCCATTTTTCTATAGCCCTCCCCTCAGCGGTCCACAGACCCCTGATTGACGTAAAAGAAAGGCAACATGAGGTCTGCTCATAACCTGTCCCTGATTTAATAGCGGTTCTTTGGGGTTCTCTTCCCTGCAGGTGCATCGGGCCAAGACTCCAAGATTGCGTCGGGATGATGGACAGGTAAGCAATCTCCAGATACATCCGCCGACGGTGATCTCGCCGGCTGGAGAGACCACCGTCAGGTTCTGCCAGAACTTGTTAAAGTTCCTGTTAAAACCCTTTTCCTCTAGATGCTCATTAACAGAAGGGTGATGTGACCTAGAAATATTTTGTATGCTTGCACCAAACTTGGTGCCTACTGAGTAAAGCAGATTTCTAGATTTTTTATACCCAAGGCTTTACTCCACCCAAAATAAAAAAAAATAATAATAAAACAATAACATTAAAAAAAGGGCTAAAAGGGACAGGGATTTTACTTTTTAGCTTTTTTTTTTTTAACCAAACTTGTGTTAAGTCAGAAATTAGAGGAAAAACTGTTTCACATTTTCAAAACATTCACGTTTTCTGATTGCAGAGAATTTCTGCGATGTCGAAGTTCTGAGTTCTAAGTTTTTCTTTAAGCCATTGTGAAATTATTGTGGACTTGCTTGATTTCCACTTAAATTATTCAAGTATGCCAATGACTTGGATGGCGTATGCAACTGCGTCTGCCTGAGAAAGATTAACCTGGACTTCAAATAGCATTGTTACAAAAATACCTATTTTGAAATCTAATATAATTATTACTGGCAATAGATATTTCCCAGAATGACTGTTTCGCCACAGTTTGATTCAGTATCTCATCTTTGTTCATATTTCACACAGCCACCGGAAACAGAAATTTACTTCAATCCAACTGCAGGCCACCAGTCGATCAGAATTTAACCACTATGGTCTTTACCACGCTGGACCTCATGGCAAATGTTCTCTTCCTTCAGGCAAAAAAATACAGCTTTTGTCCTCTGGGGGGAGCTAAAACCAAGCAAAACTTAAAGTTCTTTATTACTCTATTAAACTCTGCAAATAAACCATGAAATAATTGTCAAAATTTTGAATCTAGTTGTCATTGATGTCATGATTGGTTTAAGCGATCTGACCCACGTGCAGAGAACCACTCAGAGACCAACGGAAAAAGTTTAACAGGTTTATTAAATGTTGGTGACTAACTCAGTGGAACTCAGTGGATTGGTCAACCAGAACTGGAAAGTCTGAAAGAAAGATCACAGTGATCAGTTCAGGGACCGTAGGAAATTTGACTTGAGGCTTGAATATTACTGGAGAGGACTCAAGTTTGAAGGGGCTCTTGTCAATCCTTGAATCCAGCTTGTGGGGGTTAATCAAGAGAAGAGGGAACTCGTTGGAGGGCGGACGGATAGACAAGTGTTGGACCCAGAGGAGTAAAGGAGCGGACTGTCACTTGGATTTCCGATGAGGACTTGAACGGATCATGTGGAGGTTTTCCCCTGCTCAGCGTGAACTCAGTTAATCCTTCCAGGGGGAGAAGGTCCAGGTATCCAGTAACTCAGGAAGGCTTCCTGCGGAAGAGCAAAGACAAAAAACTAGATAAGACTCAGAGAAACAAAGCTTAGGTTAGACTCTGCTAATCTCAGCTTGGCTAGAGTACCCAAAACTGGCAAACACTCTGGTGTCGAGGAAGTGACAGCCCACTGCTCTAATACTCCTCCAGTAATTATACAACAAGCCACAGGTGTGCAGAAAGGACCAACGAGGACAGGGCACCACCTGGTGGTGGAGAGAGAAAAACACACAAACAACCCACACAAACTGGATTCCTAACAATTAAACATTCTAATATAAAAAAATAAGTTTTGATTAAGTTAAATTAGATAAGTTATTTGTATAATTTATGATACATTGGGCATTTCACTTCTCTACATGCATCTACTAGTATGAATCAGGATTTTCAAGGACAAATATATCAAATGATGATGTAGAGGTCTCAAATATCCATGTATCAAATATGATACACTTGGTGTAAAAAGCTTACATTTCTATGTAGCCATGTATTTCTTTTTTAATGGCAGCCTATAAATCAAGTCTAAAGCATACTTTGATTAAATTGAAACAAATTCTTTCTTATTTCATTGTATTGAATCAGATTAAACTCTATTGTATAGTAATATCATTGATACCATATGTTTCATATTTGATGCATGAACTTTGAGATCTCTACATTATCATGTGATATTTTTGTTGTTAAAAACTTAACTGATATAACCAGACACATAGAACAGAAAATCTATATTTCATTGTATATAAATCAAAAATCTTTAATCGCAAACGATACAAATAAAAACTTTTTTTTTGTTTAAAAAAAGAAACAGTTTTTGTTCATATTTTAGGCCTTTGAATTAACTTGTTTCTTCTTCTTATTATTATTATTATTATTATATTGATTTAAATCACATTTTAGCTGATAGAATTGTATGATATCGCATCATATTCTTTATTTTATGGAATCTGATTAAATAAAATCATATCCAGCCTAATTGGTTGGAATTAAATTGTTGGAATAGTTTCGTTTAGCAACATATTACACTGAACTGTATCCTAATATCTAATTTGATGTGAAATCATATAAAGTTTACATTCTAATTTCTGTTGAAAACCTTATATAGGACTAGATATTATGACTTTAAATCAAATTCTATTAAGTCATATCACATTTTATATTATCGTTGAATCTAAATATTAGATAATAGAAAGTAACTGCGTAGTTACTCTGACTAGTAACTAGTATATTTGATGGGCAGTGACTGAATTACTGACTTTTTTAGGCAAGTAACTAGAACTACCGTAGTTACTCTGTTACAGTAGTGTAGCGAACACTGGTGAAATATCAACGGAAAGATTTTAAATTTGATATACACAAGGGATCATCTACGACATCTGATTAAAAATCAATCAGTCACCGCAACATTTGATTTCCCTTTGGTATAAATAAAGTATTTTTGAATTAAGCTGTTAATTTGAATTGAATATGATTCTAAAAGCGAAATGACAGATGAGGATGATTCTGAGACCACTCTTTTCTCTGAGTTTTTAAAACAGCCTTATCTCTTCTTTCGCATCTGATGAACCAGTGCTGCTTCTCCTTAACTTCCTCCTTATTTCCGGAGTCTTTTCTCTCGCCCACTTCAGTCCTAACCTTTTGGGGGTTTTTTCACTGCCAGGTCGAGTTCTTTTTTTCTCGTAAATCTTTTTACCAATGTTTATCTTTATTTTTTTTCCTGTAGACGACCTTCCTGTCTTGGTTTCTCTCCATCCAAATCCCCCAAACTTCAGCATTACCTTTGAAAATAATTATGTCTGAACTTGGAGCCTGTTGCTAAATTTCAAGCTTCCGCTACCTTAAGTTTATCACCATCGATGTAGCAGATGCGGCGACACCTTGCGCCGCCGTAGCAAAGAGGGACCAGTATCTTCCATTAGCTGCTAAGGGCTTTTACAACTGATCGACTTTTGATCTTTAGAAATTGAGGCAGGAAAGTTCTGGCATTTGAAGGAGGGTGAATATGGAGCAAAGAGGAAGAAGTGGAGAGGATTTGTAGGGACAAAGACCAATGGAAGGGCAGGATTTAATAATAGCCTAACAGTACCTACAAGTGCAGTTGCTGTATAAAATGGCAAACGCATTAGTGGTGTCATTAGGGATGAGAGAGCGCTTTTAACACGCAACCTTTTTACATTTCCTCAAAGCTCATTTTTCCTCATATTCAGGGGGAGAAAAAAAAGCTTTTTATAAAAGGAAAAGGTGGTTTTGATAGCTTGATAGCTCACATTTTTCTTCACCTGAGGAAAAGAAAAATAACAAAAGTTTAAGTTGTATTTGTAGCCGATTCAGAATGTTGGTTTAAACACAAAGAATAGTAGGGGGTGGGGGTATGAAAGCTGTGAATCGTCCACAGAGGTAGGCAACATAAATATGTGATGTCAGACATCCTGTCTTGGCCTGTTAGAATAGGATCATTCTTCTCTTTTTCCTGAATATTTGTTCCAAATATTTTTGCAAAGCCTTTCACCTTAAATGGTTAAAATGTTAGTTTCTTTCAGCAATTAGTAAAAGAAAATAGTAAAAATCTCAATATAGTTGGATGTAGGTAATACTGTATAGTGTAGATGATATACGTAGTTGAAGTGGTATTTAAAGAATTAAGTTAAATAATTTCCAGAAATGAGTCCTAAGTGTAACCAGCGTCTTTCTGTTTTAGCACAGAATTATCAATATGATTCTTACTTGTGAAATGCAAGAATTTTAAGACAAGGAATTAGAAATTATTTATGCTAACATGCTTAAACAAGAAAAATGTATTCTGATTTACAAGCAAAAAGATTACTAAAAAGGATTCTATAGTTTTCTACCATATATCTAAATATCTGATTCCAAACACATTCACACCCTCTTATATTTGCTTAAGATCCCATAGTGGGTCTTATCTTCATTACTTGTTACAAGCCTGCAGCAATACCCTCACTGAATTTCTTACATTTCCTCTAATTGGAATTTGCTGGGCTTGTTTAAATAAGTTGGTTTCCTTACATAGAATTTCCTTTTAAGTTTAGTTTATACATTCTTGATAGGGTTAAAGTTGGGGTGTTGTAGTTTTTACATCCCTTTTTCACTCTCTTTGCCCTGATCTTTTAATTCCTGCAGCAGATTTACATTAAACATATAAGAATTATGTGAGATTAGAAATAGAATTTAACACTTTATTTTAACTATCTGTCATGATTTGGTGTGGGATTGAGGACCCAAATGCAGAGGCAAGTAGGCGGAGGTGAATTTAGGTGGGTTTAATGAGGTTAACAGGAACTGAGGCAGGAATCAAAAAATCCAACAGAAATAACAACGAACCAGAACCAAGGAGATATCAGGGGAAAACCAAACTCTAGGAGCCAGGGAGAGACAAGGTAAACAGACAGACGTTAGACGAGGATCCAGCAAACAGGAACTGAAGAGGGAGGGCTTTTAAAGGGGACAGAGACAAAGAGAGGGCTAACGAGGGAATTGAAAACAGGTGAGGACAGAGCAGAAAACAGAGCAAGGGATAGAGGACACAAGAGGGCAGCAGAGGACAACAAATGGAAAACCAAGACTGTGACACTATCTAGAGAAAATGGCACAAAATAAGCACCAAGCCTCCTATTCAAAGGTCCAAGAGCATAGATCTTTGAGATTCTGTAGCTTTTAAAGTAAGTAGACTCACTTCCTGTGTGTGCTACCTTAGCTATACATGTATGTGCCACAGACAGGGTGTCATTGTTTAACAACAGATGTTTCCTATTTACATGTGCCCAATTTAAACATGGCTTTATGTCAATGAAACAATTAACTATGAGCTTTTTACATATCACATTTTCTTCACTTCAAGCCTAAAACCAGCGCTTGCTTATGACCAATGAAAATGTTGTTGCCAAGTCCTGCAGACCAATAAAATTAGATTTGAAAAAATCAAGAAAGAAAAATGATTTTTTTATATATAGAAAACAGCAAAATGACTCTTAAAACTAACAAAAACACAAACTTTTTATTAAGTTTCTCGAAATTTTATTTCTAGTTTGCATGAATTTTAAGTTTAGCTAACAAATGTTCTTTGATTGCAACAATAATGAATCAAAATTAGTGTTGCACCGATACCGATACCAGTATCGGACAGGGCCCCGATACTGCACTAAAATGATGGTATCGGTATCGGCGAGTACCAACAAATAGGGCACTGATACCATTTTGAGAGCCATAAGTTTATTCAACTATTGTCACCCATTCCAGATAGGCAATAAAAGTTCTATTGGATTCTCTTTGTATTAGTCTTCTTCTTGCTTCACAAAGTTAGGCAGCACCTTGACAAAGCCAAGATGGCAATTATTTTACATCCAAGTAGTCTGAAGTTCTTTTATATATACACACACACACATTAATTTCAAACAGATCATATCGGTATGGTATCGGTATCGGCCAATACTGCACAGCCAGGTATCGGTGTTGGGGCCAAAAAATGGCATCGGTGCAACACCAGTCAAAATTCACTCTATAAATAAGTTTGTTCATACCATATTCAATACAAACTAAGATAAACATAACACCTAAAATAATCAAAAGATGGACTTAAATTGCTTTTAGAACAATTAACAAATCATTTCTGATCATTTCTGTTCATTTTAAGATCAGTGACAACAACAACAAAATGCACAAATCAAAAGTAAAAAGCGTTTTTTCAATCTTAGAAAGTATTACTAGTGTATCTTTAATCATCGAAGTGTTTTATTCTCTATGTTCTCAGAGTATTTAAAGCTCTGAAATATCAGATTAAATGGATATTAACTGATCAACTACAGTTAAAAAGCAAAACTCTTTAGCAAGTCTTTTTGATTCCGGCTGAGAATCAAAGGAGGCATGTATTTGGTCCAAGATTCTTTGAACCCAAATCCTACTACGGGGAAAACAAACCCTGTCGTCACAATCCGATCTAAGGGGACTTTCTTCTGCTGCAAACATTGTTTACAAGCTGCAATTCTTGCTATAGGGGCTGCTGCCTAAATCTTCCCGTTTCTGTTCTGCTTGCTCTTTATCTTAGATCTTAAAGAAAAAAAAAAAGTTAAAATCTCCCTTCAAACATTAATGATGTGTTTTTTGCTCTCCAGCGCAAAGCAATTTCTAACTACGTTTCCAACGAGATTTGCAGACACCTTTGTATGTCTGCAAAGAAACTAATGCAAAAATATTGTGCTTGCGAATCAAAGTTCAGCTCTTAAAGCACACAACAAACAGCAGACCCCTGATGATATTTTAAGATGTTGGTTCTGAAGAATCAAACCTGATGAAGCTAGAACTCTTAATTTAAGTTTGGAGACAATAAATTCTTTCTTTATGGTTGAAGAGGTTGAAGATCATCATTAGGGGTTAAGCTGATCTTTGTTTAGTTTAACTGCCTTACCACGTATTGTTATTTATGTGTTTTTTTTTGGTTGCCTTTCCACTAATTCTCATCCAGGACGCCTCTAATAGCAGCTGGTGTCATTGGGGGCTTATTCATCATCATCATCTTGGCGCTTAGCGTTGCCGTTTACGTTCGGCGCAAGAGCATCAAGAAGAAGAGAGCCTTGAGACGCTTCTTGGAGACAGAGGTAAGAGTTGAGTCCATAAAGACATAAAATGTTCACTTCAGCAATGATAGCTAAAGTAAAAAATTTGCGAGTGAAACAGTGAGACTTCAAATGTTCACTAAAACCTTACAGTTTAATGTTACTGACATGTTTTGACGTTGGTATTGTTGCTATTTTTGCCCACAGTTTTTATGAATATTTTGCGTTTTCTATGCTGGTGAAGATTCTCAGTCATCCAGGTCATACTCATTCCAAAAAAGTAAAAAAAAACAGTGCGTTGGACTTTGTTTCCAAGTTTGAAGATGTTTCGCTTTCCATCCAGCAAGCTTTTTCAATTAAAAAAGAATTGAATTTTCAATATAAATTGAAAAAGTTTCCTGGATGGAAAGCGAAACATCTTCAAACTTAGAAATAGTTTTTTTTTTTACTTTTTTGGAATTTTACATCTTCGTTTATCTGCAATAATGAGAGTCAATAGATTAAGTTTCAGCCATATATTAAAAAGGCTATCCTACGGAAGAGGATTAGGGCCACTAAAAAAAAAAATAAGTTAACTGATTTTTACATATTATTTCAGTTTAGTGTGGGAAAAAAGTCAGAATTCTGACTTT